TTCTTTCTGTTTCTCTCAGCACAATAGTCATAGGATTTGCCAAAATATTTTATCGTGTTGCTCTTCTGTTGAAAGCTCTCCTTAAGTTTCATATCCCACACAGAGAAAAAGCCAACTTAGAATTTTCTAGACAGCCCTGCATTAGCACAACTCAAACTTTTACATGCATATGAATCACCTATGGATAATGTTAAAATGATATTTGCATTTAGAAAGGCTGGGATAGGGGCATGAGAGTCTATATTTTTAGGGAGCTCTCAGGTGATGCAGGCACTGCTAGTCCACAGGACCACACTTTGCTGGGCTTTACGTGATTCATCTTCTCTCTACCTCCAGACCTTTTACCTCTTGACTTTGTCACGTTTTTGATATTATCCATTATTTCTGAATCCATACCTGCCTCCTTCATACTCTTGAAACATCCACACATGCTTCTACCTCAGGGCCTTTGTACTGTCTGACTCTCTTTCTAAAAACACCTTACTCAGACGTACACATACTCCCCCCTATGCAACCTGCTTAAAGTTTTTATTCAAATGTTACTTTTTTAGTAAAGCCTTCCCTGGCCACCTGATTTAATAAAGCCAATTACCTTACTTCTTGCTATTTCCCATCCTCTTCTCCTACTTTATTTTTTCTTCTTAACACTTCTCACTACTGAACGTACCATAGAATGTGTTTTTCTTATTGTTTACACCCACTAGAATGCAAACTCCATGAAGACACTTATTTTCATTTCTATCCATCCCAGTGACTAATGTACTGTTTGATACATATATGGTGCTCAATATATAATTGTTGAATGAATGCACAAAAAATCAGTTGCATTTTACAAATCCTATTTTTTTCTACTTATGCAAAAGGTCTTGAGTAGAGCAAGGCAGAAACAACTTTGTTTCATTTACTTAGGGTAGTTTGATACAGGTGAATGTCTTCCAAGGATACCAAATCAGAACTCATCTACTTGGTAAAAGCCAAATGAAGATGGCAGATGAGATCAGTATCTACCTTCGAGTAAGAGAAACTTAATGAGACTGGTAACACAATTCAGAACAAGCACAGACTGAGACATTAATCGAATCTATTTAAAGTTATGGATTGTGAGGATTGTTTTTATCACTGATGCAGGCTTTCCTGGAAGATAGTTGCTATATATATGGATTCATGCCAAAGATATTATAGAAGAAGTTTGGCCTTTTGTGAATGTTGGCCTCAAAGACCTCTGACATCTTGTCTGCCTGTACGAATTAGAAATCCATGACAGAGAATAAAAAGCTTCTGTTGAAATGTTCAAGATGCATTGCTTGAAGAAGAATCCACCACCACATTTCATGTGTCATAGTTCTCAATTTCATGAAACTCCAGTGAACTTTAGCAGGTGAAAAGGTTATTATTTGTTTGTTGGTTGTTTTGTTTTTTAACAGAAGCTGGCCAAGACCTTGCAAACTCAAACCAAAATACATCTTATTATTATTAGCTGCTCTCTGTCTAATCGATTGTCAGCTGTTTCTAATTTGGGTTGAAAGAAATATGCAGGACAAATTTCACTTAGATATTTGCTATTATAAATTCACTCAGAAGGGCATTTTCCACAACCCCTCTAGTAAATCAGAAAATTGAATAAATATGGTATAATAGATATTTGAGGACTTCATTTGCAGTTTCAAACTCATTAGGCACTTTATCAATGGACTAACAAAGAACAGAAATTATTTTCTACTTCTTTTATTGCGTCTTCATTTTATTGTGTCACAATTACACATTAAGATTAGAAAATATTAAATGATCAAGTTTTATAATTATAAATTGCTCACATATACACTATCCCAGGTAATCTTCAGGGCCACCTTGTAAGACAGGTTTATGGCTCTACTCTTACTACTTATTGATGCTTTACATACAGTATCTTATTTAATCTTGACAAAAACTGTGTGAGACAGGATTCTTATCTTCATGATGAAACTCCTAAGGCTCAGAAATTTTAAGTAACTAGTTATATTTATACATTTTATTTTAAAAATAAGCTGGATATAAACCCAGTTTGATATGTCCATCAAGACCATGCTGATGAGAGAAAAGAAGATGAAATTTCTCTGGAGTAATACCGTATATAATGAGTTTATAAGGCATGAGGAGCTTTGGCTCCTAAAATGGAATAGAAATATGAACTGTACATTTCTATTTACACTCATCATCGAAAAACTCAAATCTCTTTTTAACAAATAATATAAAGGAAAATAAGTCATTCTCAAAGCCATGCCGTATACATACTCTGAACACAAACTCATTACCATGCTATGAGTACCTAGTAAGCCTTAAAATGTCTACCCTCCTCCTCCTTTCCCCCCAAATACATGTTCATTCTCCTACCTGGATCCACCCTGACCCCCCACCCCAAACCCCATTAACTGGGAGACACCATGTTGAACCTCCAGAAGACAATGGTTCTCTTGAGAAAGCCAAGAAGGAAATATTTTAGAATCAATAACTGAACCCCAGAAAATGGAGTGTAATAAGGGCCAAGAAGTTAGAGGCCTGGGCTAACATCTCCAGGACATTCACTTCCTTAAAAACATCATTAATACTTGGAGAAAGGTTTATGTTACCATCATCAGCTCTCAGAAGCATGATATCAATATGGTGACTGCAAGAATTACTAGTCTAACTCTAGGGGCCCATAGTATTAGCAGCAGCAGACAAAAGGTGTCAGATGAAAAAGCAGAGAATAACGCTGGAAACAATGGCAGAATAATTTTTATAATCCTCAAAATATCCTCTAGCATGATATTATTGTTTGACATTAGAACAGGAAACACAGACTTGGAGTCCAAATTATTCTGCAGTAGAAGATCAGAGAGAAAAAAATGTATACCACTATTGCTGTTATTACTGACATTTGTCTACATTCCATGATTATTTATTAAATGTCAACAATGGTTTTCACTAGTCTAGTCACTAGAGATAATTTTAAGAAAAAAAGTCAGTTCTCTTATAGAGGTTGATAGGGTTTGAAATGCTTCTGTATATATGTTTATAAACTGCAGCTCAGAGTAAAAATAGCTTTAAGGTTTTCACATAATGGAAAAACAGTCTTTCTATGCCTTTTTAATATAGATAGTTATAGAAAAATAAGATGTAAATAAAGATTTTCCCATTTGGAAATAGAAACAGACATCTGTAGGAACCTTATTTGTTGACAAGATTAACTTTTCCTTTTAGATAGCTTCACATAACCACAACTAAAGATAACGATTTAATCTAAAAACAAGTGCAGTGTAGAAAATAACTTGAGTCATTTAAAAGCATCAGATGACTTGAATGATATTTGGAATGGGATTTGTGAAAACTTTTTTAGACTTCATGTTTGTTAAGTCCTTAACCCTTTTCTGAACAAAATACCAGGGAGTGTATTTGATTTTGGAATTCAAATGGAAAACTGATCTGTTAAGTACACTACAGAGGACTTTGAATTCCCTCTACTGGTGCCATGAGTCATTTAAAAAATCTTCTTTAAATCAATATAAGATGTAATCTAACAGGAAATTCTCTGTACAACATATCTACAACCATCCGATCTTCGACAAACCTGACAAAAACAAGCAATGGGGAAAGGATTCCCTGTTTAATAATGGTGTTGGGAAAACCAGCTAGCCACGTGCAGAAAGCAGAAACAGGACCCCTTCCTGACACCTTACACCAAAATTAACTCCAGATGGATTAAAGACTTAAACATCAGACCTAACACCATAAAAATCCCAGAAGAAAATCTAGGCAAAACCATTCAGGGCATACGCATAGGCAAGGACTTCATGACCAAAACGCCAAAAGCAATGGCAACAAAAGCCAAAATAGACAAATGGGACCTAATCAAACTCCACAGCTCCTACACGGCAAAAGAAACAGTCAGTAGAGTGAATCGGCAACCAAGAGAATGGGAAAAAATTGTTGCAGTCTACCCATCTGACAAGGGGCTGATTTTATAAAGAACTAAAACAGATCTACAAGAATTTACAAAGAACTAAAACAGATCTACAAGAAAAAAAACAAACAAGCCTATTCAAAAATAGGTGAAGGATATGAACAGACACTTTACAAAAGAAGATATACAGGAGGCCAGTAAACATATGAAAAAATGCTCATCATCACTGGTCATTAGAGAAATGCAAATCAAAACCACATTGAGATACCATCTCACACCAGTTAGAATGGCGATCATGAAAAAATCTGGAGACAACAGATGCTGGAGAGGATATGGAGAAATAGGAACACTTTTATACTGTTGGTGGGAGTGTAAATTAATTCAACCATTGTGGAAGACAGTATGGCGATTCCTCAATGACCTAAAAATAGAAATCCCATTTGACCCAGCAATCCCATTACTGGGATTATATCCAAAGGATTATAAATCATTCTACTATAAGGACATGTGCACACGAATGTTCATTGCAGCACTGTTTACAATAGCAAAGACCTGGAGCCAACCCAAATGCCCATCGACGATAGACTGGATAGGGAAAATGTGGTACATATACACCATGGAATATTACGCAGCCATCAAAAACGATGAGTTCGTGTCCTTTGTAGGGATATGGATGAACCTGGAAACCATCATTCTCAGCAAACTGACACAAGAACAGAAAATCAAACACCACATGTTCTCACTCATAGGTGGGTGTTGAACCATGAGAACACATGGACACAGGGAGGGGAGCACTACATACTGGGGTCCATTGGGGGGAAATGGGGGAGGGACGGGGGTGGGGAGGTGGGAAGAGATAGCATGGGGAGAAATGACAGATACAGGTGAGGGGAAGGAAGGCAGCAAACCACACTGCCATGTGTGTACCTATGCAACAATTCTGCATGTTCTTCACATGTAACCCAAAACCTAAAATGCAATAAAATAAAATAAAATAAATAAATAAACAAATCTCAACTTTGCAATCCCAGCATGGGACACAAAATGGTAAGGACTATTAATGGAGAACCATGGACAGTACCTTTTGAATGCCTGCTTGGGACTCCAGAACATTGTTCTCTGATCCATTGCTTCTGTTGATCATCCGCCACATTTGGGAATACATGCTGTCCCTCTCAAAAGGATTCAATCCTTTCATGCGGACATGCTCATATACTGCAGAGTCCAGGACTGTGCCGTAAGGGATTTCTGTTTGCTTGGAAAGGTCCTGGAGAGACCTTGATTATTGGGAGAAAAGAGAGACAAAAGAGAGTACTGAATATTTTCAAGTGGGAATAAAGTCAAAAGGAGAAAAAGCAATATGTGTAGAAACATGTATCAAATGCATTTCTCATTTTTTTGTTTCCTCATATTAGGATATAATGTGTAAGAAAAAGACAGCTATTAGGGTATATGGCATTGATACAAATAATGAGAACACAAAATTATTATTGAAGGAATGGTGAAAATTTCTAGCGGTAATGCAATGCTTTTTTTTGGTGAAGCTTCACAGGGGAAAAGCTAGCAATTCCATCAAAGGCAAGTTACATTAGACTGCCAGATAATCATATAATAATTAGGTAATTTTAAAAATTTCAATATGTTATAAGCATTAGGTCTACATTCCTTTAGGTCGCAAGATATTTTTATAAAATTATAGAATTTACATAAGCACCATGTTTTGAAGTCAAATGTAAGCTTAAAAATTAGTAGTTAGGATAGTCATTATTTATTGAATACATCCATCTTAGATAATTGATAGACATTATCCTAATGGAAATGCCTCACATAAAAAATTATTTGACCTATTTTAAAGATGAGGAGACTTAGGTTGAGAGAATAAGTGACTTGATCAGCGTGGCACAGTCAGTGAGTGTGAGAGCTAAAATTCAAATGTGGGTCTGTCCAGCCCCAAAGACCATAGTATTTCCATGCAAGATGCTGGTACTTATTTCTATATTTCTTTGGCTATATTTGCTCTATCAGTGTGTGTGTTTGTGTGTGTGTAGTGTGGAGGTGGGAGGAGTGCTTTCTATTTGGATTAGAATACATTTCATGTTTCTGGAAAGCTGAAAACATATTCAGAATAATAATCCAAGATTTTTAAGCCAATCTTTTGAGTTACAGATAGTATCTATTTGTCCCAGGTTATCTATCTCCAAATTGGTTGATGATTTTCCTCCATTGAGTTTCTGAGTTCCTCTATATTTTCCAGCTTAAAGAACCAGTCATTTATCATTCCACTGGAACTCACAGGATTTGTGTAGTGTGTAGGTGCCCAACTCTAATGACTGACATTTAAGGACAAATATTGTGTCTCTGGCATAGTGTTAAAATCAGATGCTGGCACAGTTACAACTAATTTTTGGGAATGGGAGCAGATGCTCTGAAACACATACACTGTACTTCGAACAAGAATGAATGCTCACAGAACTCTCTACAACCATGAGCCATGAATGTCATGTAATGTTTATCTCTGATCTTTTGATTTGTTTCTAGATGGAGTTTGCTAATGATTTCCTGAGGATCTTTCAACCAACACTAGCATTAGGTAAAAACACTGGGAATATTCTTGCAGTACACTAATCTCCATCATGTACAAAACTGTGTTGGAAATAATACATTATGGGCCATGTTTGTTAGAGGAGTATTTGTGCCAATTTCTAATAGTAACTTTCAGCAAAACTTAATCTGCATTTTACTGAGTTTTGTGTTGTTGATGTATATTATTTACTCCATGGAAACTGTCATGATAATTCCTTTTTGCTCTACACATCTATTGCATAAAATAATGAATTTAAACCATCCTATTTGAAGAGAATGTGTAATTCTGGAATTTTCTGGAATATTCTAAAACTATTGAACAAATTCTATTTGTAAAAGGTAAACTAAAGTGATAATGTAAATGAGTAATTGAGGGCAAAAGCAAGAGTAAAATGAGCAATATAGAGCTAGGATGCAACTGAATACCAAAGTGAGTGGGCATTTACTTGTGGGACATACCATAATTCTCTTCATATATTATAACAAAAATTTTGTTTCAAGAGAGCAATTTACTGCTGTTTTCAGTAGTATCAGTACGACTGTATCAAAAACATGAACATTTTTTAACATATATCCTCCCGTTTAATGGGGGATACCCAAAAGTGGTAACACAGGAAGAAAACATGAAATATATCTACACAGGTTACAACAACAGTACTTGTTTGTTAAGTTTCTTTTTTTTTTTTTTTTTTTTTTGAGACGGAGTCTCCTTCTTGTTACCCAGGCTGGAGTGCAATGGCGCGATCTCGGCTCACTGCAACCTCCGCCTCCTGGGTTCAGGCAATTCTCCTGCCTCAGCCTCCTGAGTAGCTGGGATTACAGGCACGCGCCACCATACTCAGCTAATTTTTTGTATTTTTAGTAGAGACGGGGTTTCACCATGTTGACCGGGATGGTCTCGATCTCTTGACCTCGTGATCCACCCGCCTCGGCCTCCCAAAGTGCTGGGATTACAGGCTTGAGCCACCGCGCCCGGTTTGTTTGTTAAGTTTCTATAAATAGAAAGGTGAAGGCCAGATAGTTGCACACAGCACTGTCTAGAACCTGCAGGTCTATGGATGGAGAAAGCCCACATTGCAGGACACCAGACACCTTACCAGTGCAAGATGAGCTGTCTGACTCTAGGGCCCCATAGAGTTAGTACTACCAGACACTTGCTAGTACTATCATAGTGTCTGGTAGTACTAGCAACCAAACTCAACTATAACTATCAGAAGGTTTCAATTTAATGGAGGTGAGATCACAGTTTAGAGTACTGTAGTTGTTTTCAACGCCTTCATCTAAATATAAAAATGATTTGCCCAAAGAGTCACCCTGGTTAAATGCTGCTAGACAAATTAGTGCTCTTTCTTAGACTTCCATGAAAAGAAGGCTAAAATAAAATGTTAAGACCTTTAATACAGGCAGTTTTCCATCACATAGCTTTACCTTAAATGTTAGCTTTACGTTCTGATAATAAAGAGTTTTAACAAAAACTCTTTAGTTGGTTAATACAAACAGTATTAACCAACTAAACATAGTTTAGCCGGCAAAGTTGTTTGGTACACAATAAATTTTTAAAGGAATATCTTAATGTATTGCCTATGTGAAGTTGCTGGTGTTACAAAAAAGGCAGTTTATATTCAACATACTTCGAGTTTAGAATGGCAGAGCATCTTGTAATTTTGAACAAAGGCCTGTTCCCTCTAGTAGTTTCTGACATCAAGTGCAACTTATAAATTTGCCTTGAGACATGTTTGCAATAAAAATTACAGGTCGTTTGATTCAGCATGTTCCATTACAGTACACTAAGGTAGCACCAAAGATGACAAAAATAAAATGAAGTTGAAGCAAAATGAAGTGAACACAAATAGCTTATCACAGAATGAAAAGGCCATTTCAGGAGCCCAGCATGGAAAGGGAGTGACAATTACAAGTGGTCACTTTGCTACTTTCATACTAAGAAGAGTTTAGAATAAGATTAGTAGAAATTCTGTAGCCTATATTATCAGCCTCTAAAGGAAATATTGTTATTTCCTTTAGAGGCTATTGGTTATTTAACAAATGGTAATCTTCAGAAAATTGTATCTGAAGGTCGAAATCAGAGGGCATATTATTTAGACATGCTCTATCATTGTTTTAAAATGGATAACAACCATAGAATGATTAATAGGCACCTAATATATACATTATTTTACCATGGCAAATACTGACATTTCTTTTTCTTTTTCTTTTCTTTTTTCTTTTCTTTCTTTTTTTTTTTTTGAGTTGGAGCCTTACTCTGTTGCCCAGACTGGAGTGCAGTGGTGCTATCTTGGGTCACTGCAATCTCCGCCACCCGGGTTTAAGTGATTCTCCTGCCTCAGCCTCCCATACAGCTGGGATTACAGGAACCTGCCACTGTGCCCAGCTAATTTTTGTATTTTCAGTAGATACAGGGTTTCACCATCTTGGTCAGGTTGGTCTTCAACTCCTGACCTCGTGATCCACCCACCTTGGCCTCCCAAAGTGCTGGGATTACAGGCATGAGCCACAATGCTCAGCCAGAACTTCTTTTTTAACAATAGACATTTTCTCAGGTGATGGAAGGAATGGGAAAATTGGCCAGGAGCAGTGGCTCATGTCTGTAATCCCAGCACTTTGTGAGGCTGAGCCAGGTGGATCACCTGAGGTCAAGCATTAGAGACCAGCCTGGCCAACATGGCAAAACCCTGTCTCTAATAAAAATATGAAAAAAATTAGCCAGTCATGGTGCCTGCCAGCTACTTGGGAGCCTGAGTTAGGAGAATCTCTTGAACCCAGGAGATGGAGGTTGCAATGAGCTGAGATTGCACCACTGCACTCCAGCTGCAATCCCAGCTACTTGGGAGCCTGAGTTAGGAGAATCTCTTGAACCCAGGAGACGGAGGTTGCAGTGAACTGAGATCGCACCACTGCACTCCAGCCTGGGCGACAAGAGCAAAACTCTGTCTCAAAAAAAAAAAAAAAAATAAAAAATAGGGGGGAATCTATAGTACTCCAGAGTAATCTGTTGTGAACATACTATGTATAACTCATACCATACTCCATTTTTCTACTTAGCCACATATATTCACATAAAACTCAGTGAACAGTCACTCTGAGAATCCATTAAACTTGAGCTCTCCTCTAAAACCCACACTCACTCATGTGCACAGTAAAAAATGAGTGTCTATAGCTCTAAGTGGTGGATGATAAAAGAAAACAAATCCTTTGCTGCTCAAATCAGCCTTATCTTCTCAGCACTTGACTGAGATTATTCTTTTATTCCTGCTGCTGCTCTCTGATCAAACAAGAATCAACCTGTGGGTACTGGACAATACTGGCAGCTTACAGGTAAGTGATATTTAGTTATTTGTATGAACAGTGTAATTACCGAGGAACTGTGTAATTTAGGGCAATTAAAAATTTTAAAATTTGAGTGGCTTTAGGTTGCTGTAAAACTCTTGCTATGAGAAAATAAACACTGGAACCCTTTTCAAGCATATAAAATTAATTTTGTGCTAGGCTCAGTGGTTCATGCCTGTAAAGCACTTTGGGAGGCTGAAGCAGGTGAATCACTTGAGTTCAGGAGACTGAGACCAGCTTGGCCAACATGGTGAAGCCCTGTTTCTACTAAAAATATGAAAATTAGTTGGGTGTGATGGTGCACACCTGAAATCCCAGCTAATTAGGAGGCTGAGACGGGGGAATCACT